GATGGCTGCAATGGCTGGAGCTAAGCCATCTGAAGCCAGGAGCCAGGAGCTTCTTCTGGGTTTCCCACGTGAGCGCAGGGGCCCAAGGACTTGGGCCATTTTCTACCACTTTTCCTAGAGAGCTAGATCGGAAGTGGAGCAGCCAGAACCCAAACCGGCACCCATATGGGAGGCCGGCACCGCAGGCGGTGGCTTTACCTGCTACGCCACAGCACTGGCCCCTCAAAGAATGGATTTTTAAAGACGTTTCTTAAGTAAAGGACTTAGTTGCCAAAAAATTTATCTTAAGTTTTGGCATATGTGTGTGTGGTGGCAGGATTACTGTGAAATATCACGTACAGACTGTTTTGAAAGAAATGGGACCCGAGCGGAACCTTGAAAGGTAAGACAAAGCCAAGAGGAGATGGGTGGGAAGGGATTCAGGAAAAAACACAGCATGACCCAGAAGCAGGACAGCAGGTGGTTTCTGAATTGGATGTGTTTTCAGAAAAATTGGATGTGGCCACAGGAAAAACTGCGAATGTAGGAGCAGGTGTTTAGCCTAGCAAGTAAGATCTGCACATCCCACAAAGCAGTGCCTGGGTTCAATTCCCAGCTCCAGGTCCTAACTCCAGATTTCTACCAATGCATACCCTGGGGAGGAGTGACGATGGCTCAAATAATTGGGTTCCTGCCATCTACATGAGAGACCTGGATTGTGTTCCTTGCTACTGGCTTCAGCCCAGGCTCAGTCCATCCATCCATCCCTCCCTTTTAATTTTTAAAACTTTAACCCATTCATGCAGCCCTATTCACATCATAATAGGGACTTACAATTTCATCTTGGGTGTCATGAAAACCCATCAAGTATCTTAAGGATAAAAATGACAACCTGGGTGTGCACCTGCTTATTGGAAGATGTGTAACAAGTCCTCTCTCTCTAACAGTCCATAATACTGCAGTGAGGTTCTAAACGAGAGTAGAGGGAACGAAGCATTGGAGACAGACCTGGGAGCTCTCTCCCAGACACACTCCGGGGTTGCTGTAAGTGCTGGGAAGGATATTGTGGTGGGATTAATTGGGATGGGGATGGAGGAGAGAGGACAGGCTTGAGGGGTGTGGAAGGACAGCATGAGCTCACTTTTGAACGTGTTAAGGTTTGATGTTCCATACTAAACTCTCCGATGTTAATAAGTGATCTCAGCCTTCAAGCTTTCATTATCACTGGAAGGAAAAGACAATTGAATTCTCCAGACTCCCATGGTAGGTGGGCCAAAGGACACAGGTCGCAGAAAGGGAAGGAGCAGAAAAAGCTACTCCCAGAACCTACTTAACAACTAAGTAATTCCAGAATTTCTTCATCCAAATCTACCTAATTCTACCCTTTAGTTCCCACTTAATTATTTTACACTTAACAAAAATATTACTTTGGGAAGAACTTGGTGATCTATTTGATGACTTGATCTGGCCTATCAATCCCATGGTCTAAAGCCAGATTAGAAATACCCTCATCTGAATTCCTCTCCAGCCATCGTCTCTTCACCCCATAGGCCCTACAGAAATAAAATTGTCCCTCCCCCAATATTTTGGAGGCCACAAATAGAAATATTATTATTTCAACAAATAGTGCTATGAAAATCATAGTCACTAGGATGTCCCTAGGGATGTGATTGTGTCCGTTCAAAGTAACATCATTTTCCCTCTGGAGAGGAAACCAAGAAGGGCACGGATTGGATGTGACTTACTGTGAATGAATAAGTGTCCAGAATGGAGGTCCTCAGCTAGTTTGCAATGTAATAAGGGGCCCCGCGAAGACAGATTGGCCAATGACTATTGATGACACATTTCAGTTTTGAAGTGGTATCAGTTGCAGGCACGTGCAGGTTCATGCCAAGCACCTGGGCGGGGCAATGAGGTGACTCAGCAGGGAGGTTCTACTGAGAAAGGAAACAAACAAGCCTGTGACCGTCAGGGAGGAGACTGTGCCACAGCAGCTAGCAAAGTCAGGGAGCAGGTGAGTCAGGTGAGCTGGGCGGCCACCGGACAGATGGCAGAGTTGGGTCATCAAACAGGAATTCGTATGCAAAGAGCAGAGTCACACACTCCCCCATCAACGATGGCCTACATCAACCAGGGATGTCATGCAGGCCGCCTCCCCCAGTTCTCATGGGACCTTACAGGCTTAGTTTGCTCCAAGCAAAGCAAAAACAAGATCAATTCCACGAGGAAACATTTAAGGACATGGAAAATGGGAACCGCCACGATTCAGGATAACTGCTTTAGCTAGGATGTGGGTTTTGAAGGGGGGTGGTGTAGAAGCTTGTTAGTGACTTCCACTATAATGGTGATATTTTATTTACCAAACTGGGTGTCGGACACAGTGGTATTATGCTTGTGCACTGAAATATTTCATAACTTTCAAAAAGAAAAGGCCGCAAGGAAAATGAGGCCGGCCAGTGGGGCTGGGAGTCTGTGGGCCTCTTCAGACACAGGTAGAACGTCCTCCACAAGCAGGCTGCCAGCTGGGGCTGCAGAGCCTGTCTCTAGGCCACCTGGCATCTCCCCACTAACAGCTTCTTGTGCTGCATCTGTGACCTTGCGGCCTTAAATCACACCTTCAGGGTGGCCGCAGTCTTTCACCCACAGGAGAAGGGGCTGAGCCCCTGGGGAGTCAGACTGGCTCCAGAAGACCCAGGCTATCTCGTATGACCTTGCAGCCTTAAATCACACCTTCAAGGTGGGGGCAATCTTTCACCCAGAGCTAGCAAAGGAGGGGGTCTGAGCACCTAAGGAGACGGACAGTCTTCAGGAGACCCCCGCTATCTCCATGAGCCCCAAGCCAATCAACATACAGTATGTGAAACCCCCATCCAATGGGCACCCCCACAGAATGACCCAATGAACAGAGAGTAATGCCTTAAAACCTGGGACACTTCCTCAAAGCCGGTGTCCCCCTCGGGCACTCCGCCTGGGCTCCTCTCGGACCAGATGCCTTCTCTGTCCCTTGCCAATCAAAAGTTTCTGCTTCTTTGCAAATTGTTTCCCGGCTTTTTATTTCTATACTAAGCTGAGGAAAAGAACCCACAAGACTCACTGCAGCAACCACCCTCCCCTCCGTGACTGGTGACAGAAAAGGAGGAAGAGAAAGACCTTGTCTATGTCTGCTTCAACTTGGAAAAAGATAGGGCCCCCTCCTAATTATCCTAATTTTCTTATCAACTGAAAACTGTCCACAGAAAGCTTGTGCCTACTAGAGAGGTTAGTGTTCTGAAGTCCATTCATTTTTTAGCAAATGTTCAAATCACACAGTGAAGCTGGATCAACTGCAGTGACGACTCCGACCCTGGGCGGACCTCTAGTTACGTTGGATTTCTCACTTGGAGATGCCCTTCCTGTTTCGTTAGTATTGTGACATCATACACAATGCTGAGCCCTGAGCGCTCGCTCAGCTCTGTTACCTGGATTTGCTGCTGCGATGCTGGGCTGTCCCAGGCTTCCTCAAACCTCCTTCCTGCTCACGGGTCCTGCCCCACTTTTTCTTTACCTTGGCCCCAGGACCACTGCACCACTTATTTCCTACCCAACTATGACCACACAAAGAGAAAAGAGGAAAGCTATGTGTCCCCTTGTTAAAAAAAAAAAAATAGCTACAAGCCAGACAAGAAGTGGGAAAGGATGAATCTAATTATTAGAATGAGACCTGCCAATTATCTTTGAATTTCGTATTTCCCACTTGGGATTTTTTTTCTAAAACAAAGGCAGCTTGGGATCAAGCTGATGCATGGCAGACTTTGATAAGTCCCTGCTCTGCCACTTCTTAGTTACTCGATCTTGCTCAAGCTATTCAGCCTCTAGTAAGCATGTAGCTATTAATATTAGCTCCCTTTTGAAGTTGAACCACAGAGGAAATGAAATGATACATGAAACTGCTTAGCACAATGGGTAGCACGTAGCAAGAATTGAATACCTGGTGGCAGTTGTTATGTGCATGGGTTTAAATTGTTTTCCTACCCTTTTAATGCTAATAAATGAAATCCCTGGAAAGTTGATGGGTATGAGAATAATCTACACACAGGAAAAACCAGCTTCCAGGAAATTCACATCCGGCAAGAGAGGCCCCCACACCCGGAGCAACATATCTTCCTGAAAGCTGTGGATTCTTCTATCTATTCATTGCTCCCCACAGGTGCCAAAAATCTGCCCAGGAAAGGAGACAGGAGCTGCTAAACTGGTTATTTTGTTTTTATTAGCACTCATTGCAGGCTTCCCTGGGCAGCCAGAAGAGACCAGAAACCCAAATACCAGAGCGCATGTTCCCTCCTTCAAGACTGTCCAATCACTTGTTGATCAGCACAGGCACCTCTTGGAGAACAAGAGGGATTCATTTCCCCCAGAAGAAAATGAGGCTGGGAAGGTGGCGGGCAAGTGCTGGGGTGAGGGCAGCACCTGGCAGCCTCCCTTGCTCTAAGAGGCCCCCCTCTGTGGACACGCCGGGGGTTGCCGGGTTATGAGCTGCTTGGGAAAGCCTTGGGATGAGGGTAATTCTGAATAGCTAGAAAGGCTTGTAACAAAACCGGTCACAAAGGACTTTACCAGGAGAATTCCTAGGACTGCTTGGCTCCGTGGAGGAAGGCCGTTATCGGTGGGAAATCACGTTTCACACAGACCCATGGAGAAGCTCACCGCCAAGGGGACTGCAGGTGCTCCCTTACATCAGGAGTTTAAAGAAAAAGTATCTTTCGCCTCCTGGTTCCCTGCCAACTCTCCTTTCTTCCAGCCTCAGCCCGGATCGGCTCCTCCTCCTTCCAGCTCTCCTCCGGGAGCCTCTGCAGGGGCTGTGGGCGGGGGAACGGGAAGGCAAGGCAGGAGATGATTGGCCAAGGGAGAGCAGCACCGCCCTGCTCATGCCCCTCCCACCCCCTCCCTGGAGAAACAGCTGGAATGAGAAATAGGCAGAGGAAGCTGGGATTGGCTGAGAGTCCGTGGCAGGGTGGGGCGAGGCAGCTCCTATGAAGCATTTACCTGTCTAGGTAAGTCAGAAGGAGGTCAAAAGGAGAAGAAAACAGTAGGCGGCCGGAGACTGGTCTCTTTCTCCATCTCTGCCCTTTGAAGCCAAAGGGTAGCCCTTTCCTCTCATCAGCCCCCACCCCACGGAAGGTGAGTTAATTACTAACCAACTAGTGCTTGTTCTGCAGCAAGAGGAGGGCTTTGCGGGGCGCCGAGCTCCAGGGCTTCAGGGAGAAGGGGGTGTCCTCAGCTAGGGGCGCTCCCCTCTGCTCCTCAGTTCTCGGAGTCCATTCTGGGCTCAGAGCAGGTTGGAAGCGTCTCCACATGAGTCCTTTTGTGGACACCAGGGCTGGGATGCATCTTGTTCCCTTACCAATTTAGGTTGGGTAAGCAGATCGCGCAATCAGCAAGAAAAGTAAACAGGTTGCTTTGGGAAATTTCCATCTCTGAGCAGGTGAAACTGAGTTGTGATTGTTGGAAGGGGACTAGTTAGAGGGAGTCCAAATCAGACATCATTGGCCAGGTGAGTCGAGTGCCTTGGTTTCCTGTTGCATTTGAAACGGGAAATTCTGCCTCGGCTTTATCCATCCAGCATCTGCCTTTATTTAAGTAAAAGGCGCAGTGTGCGTATGTGTGATCAGGATATGTTTGATCATGGCGCTCTCTGCAGACAGGTGTGCCACGTGTGAGCTGTACCTGGTAGTTTGTAAGTGGACAGAAGGTTTGCCCATGTTGGGAGAGTTCCAACTCAGGCTACCAGCCCATGTTTGGAAAATCCACAGGGAATCCAGCTGCTCAGCGGAGTTTCTTTGGGTTCAACTCCATTGATTTTCTGACTGTGCCTGCTAAGAGAGACAGAGACCAGCAAACAGAAAGCTATTCAGCTGTGCCAGCCTCGACACATTCATATTCTGTGGCAGCACGTCAAGTCCGGTCAGAGCGCCAAGCGGGACTCAGGCCAAGGTAGCATGGCAGAGATCACCAAGGGAAGACCCAGACGGGGTGGTGGGTTTGCTGTGTTTTCCCTCAGGTGTGCCAGCTGGCAACTGGTGTGGAATGCTGGATGTAGAAGTAGAGGCCGTGGAGGCCATTAGTGCTCCGTGATCTGTCCTGGAGGGTCAGCACTGCGGCCCAGGTCGCTGCCTCTCTTCCTCCTGCTGCAAAGAGGGGTCAGGGAGGACCCCCGGGCAAGGCTCTCAGGGCCTGGCATACTCAGTCGGGGCCGGTTTCTGGTCCTGGCACCTGGAGCTTTAGGCTGTGGCCTCACCTGCAGAACCAGCCCGCCACACTCAGTGTGGCGTTCATGGAGGACTTGTCCCCAGGAAAACATCAGCAGCGTGTCTCACAGCTCTTCTGCGCGGGGGGTGGGGGTGGGGGGTGGGGGTATTTCTATCCATGCCTTGCCTCAAACCCCCAGGTGAGAGAGAGATTCAGACGTTGCCTGAACATGCACAGGAACTTGCCCGTGTGCTTACGGAGAGGCCGAGAGGCCCACAGTGCAAATTTTGATCTTGCCAGCATTTTTGTCGGATGTTCTCTGGCCGGAGGCACTTTGCCGGGATATCAGCAGAGGCAGAGGCATCGGATCTGAGAGATCTGGAACACCTCTTTGAGGAGAGAGCAGAGCTCCTGGAGGCCATGGGGTTGGAGGAAGATGATAAGGAGGGCCTGGTCTGTTCCAGCCAACCTGGATTGGGGTTCAAGCCTGCTCCCCGTGCCGTCCACTTCAGAATCCACATGCTGCTTATTTACTCTCTTCCAGGGCTTGACTGGTTTTAGTGGAGTAGTTAATATTTAATGCACCCCAGACCGTAGCCTGTGTGTATTCTTAACCCATTCCCTCCTCCTCATTAGTCCCCAAAAGAGGTCAAGGGTGAAAAGATACCAAATTCTCACCTTGAGTGTCTTACTTGTTTCTGGGGCTGGGCTGCTTATCAGATGAGAAAAGCCTCAGGTTTCGATATAAGCCCCAAGTTTCAAGGTTGTAAAGTTGCTGGGAGGAAATGCAACAAGAGGCCAGCCAAGCTGCTGAAGGGTGGGGAGAAGGGGAGACTTTGTTACCGTGAAAACCAGGTGTGGAGGTGAGGTGCCGGCACCCGGGGGCTTGCTCAGCTTTGGTTCAAGTTCAAATTCGTCTCTGCAGTGGTTAGGCCTTGCCCAATGACGTGATCTTTGGTGGCATTTCTTTATTCTGGAAATACCCTCTGTAGCTGGGGCAATAAACTGGCCTGGAAGAGTAAAGCTAAAGCAGGTGGCTTGCAGGGCTCAAGGTACAAAGAGGAAGGGGAAGGGTGATCTTCAGGATTCTAGTATTTAGTTAGGGATGACCGGTGACACTTGGGACACTTCTTCAGGTTCGTGCCTCTCTTGCAACTGCTCAGAACTTGACATGTCCCCTGGAGAGGCCAGGCCCCTCAGGCTGCCCTGTGTATGCAGCTATGGATCACGCTCTACACCCCTTAGGAAGCGGTAGGGGGAAAAGCCCCTGCTCCCTCCCTCCTAAAATGAGGCCAGTGCCGCACACCGCCTGTGCTTCCAGCTTAGTCTGAGGATCTGACGAGCACTCCGTGAGCCATGCCATGCTGTGCTCTTGCCAAGTAGTTCTGCTGCTGTCACACTTGTCTTTTCCAGCTGTTTCAGACCATGCTAGGTCCTGCAGGGAGAGTGTGCTAGACTTCCCTGGGTGGAAGAGAGCCAGGCAAACCCTGCAAAGTCTGAAGCCTACTTAGGAGAACTTGGCAGTCATTTAGTCTGAAAGCAAGTGGCTGCATCTGCTCACCCATGCGCAGAGAATATCCCGTTAGTTACAGTGAGTCACTTTAAAGACTGACCACCCAATTCTGCAGACAAGAACACTGGGCCCAAAAACCAGACCCTTGGTCCTACCCTGACCTCTTGAAAACGATGTCTTCCTCATATGTGGATTTGTACCGCCAGTGCCTACTGTAAAGGACTCATAAATATTAGTTTAACTGAAAGCATTGCCCACATTCCATGTACTCTCGGGGAAATAAAATATTTAGGAAAAAGCTTCCAGTTAATAGGTCAGAAGCCAAGAAGTCTTGCAACTGTTCTACCCAGTAGACACTCAAACAAGTGACAAGTTTATTTATCCAGCGTTGTTTGAGTGCCTTCTGTGTACTTAGGCTTAAGAGAGATGGATTACCTTTGCTATATTGGCCTCAACCCTACAGAATGCTGGGAGTGGGTTATGACTCCCTGAACCTGAACAGTCATTCATGGAGTGCATAGCTGAGATGACTGAGCTTTATCCGCGTGATTTCTCATCTTCCTGTTTCTTGAGGTTCTGGGTGTCAGGGAACGAATCTCATGAAGAAACTCTGCGAAGCCACCTCACCCAATGTTGATTTACCATTGGCCTCTCTGGTGTCTGTGTCCCAACTCCTTGACCCCTGAGAAACTCTGGACCCTGGTGGACCACATATGTCTTGTCCCAGTCCTGCCCCAGCTGAGGGCTCCTCCCAAGCAGAACATTGCTCCTTGAGGCCTTGTACTCACCAGCACTGTAGCATTGGGTGGCTGACTCACCTCACCCAACCCAAACCTGACTCTGGCACTGGAAGCAATTACTTGCAGGGGCCAAAGGATCTCTCCCATGGCATCTAAACCCCACATCCTCAGATCACAACTGGAACACATTTTTTTAAAGGGCCATAAATTTGAAAGGCAGAGTTACAGAGAGAGAGGTCTTCCATCCTCTGGTTCAGTCCCCAGATGGCTGCAACAGCCAGGGCTGGGCCAGGTCAGGAGCCAGGAGCTTCTTCTGGGTCTCCCACATGGGTGCAGGGACCCAAGGACTTGGGCCATCTTCTGGTGCTTTCCCCAGTGCACTAGCAGGAAGCTAGATTGGAAATGGAGCAGCCGGGACTTGAACCACCATCCATATGGGATGCCAGCATTGCAGAGGGTGACTTTACCTGCTACCTCAGAGCCGGCCCCTAGAACTCACTTTTCTACGACATACTGCCTAATAATGGTAGGGTAGAGAAAGACAGTAGAAAGTGTAGCTTGGTGTAAGGGGAAATAATGTATTTGGAATTAGACAAACATTTTTTTAAGTCTAGCTCTCCCGCAAGTCTCTGTTTGACCTTGGGACTTTCTTTTAATCCAAATTCTTTTAAAATTTCATTTTACCATAGAAGAGTCACCCCTGGCTTGGCCAACTCCAACGGAGAATTCCTTGGGATTTTCAAAGGGAGGGTGGCACTGCCTTCCTTTGCTCTGCTTGCTTCCCCGAAGGAGCTGGAGCTGGGAGGGAGCCACGTAGGCCAGTCCTCTCGCTCGTTCGGCTAGCGAACCTCACTGGGAACATGTGCAACAAGTGAGGAAGAGGTATCAAGAGGGAAACTGGGTTTGTGCCAAACACTGCAGGTGCCCTGCTCAGGCCTCCCAGGCTAGGGCGATGGTGGGATTGATGATGTTGACTGTGATAGCCGCTGACGGTCACTGGGCCATGAACTGAGCAAAGTGTTTTGCATGCAGTGTTTGATTATATTGTATTCTCACACAGCTATATGAGGTAGGTACTGCCAGGGGCTCTCGTCCTCTTCCATTTCACAAGAATCTTCTCTTCTAAACTCTGGCTTCCTTTGCCGCAATGGAGTCTGATCCTCCGTGGATCCTATCTTTTTCTTCTCACAAGAAAAGTAGTTATTGGCTTATTCTTTATACGTTTGAGAATTTACTACCGACTAAAGAGCATCTCATTTGATTCCTTCATTTCCCTATTTAATGAGGGAAAACAGACCCAAAGAGTAATTTGCCTTAAGTGACAATTCCATAAATGGCTGGAGTGGGAGTTGGAACTAGACCCAGCACCCCAGCTAGTAAGCCCTGTAGCATTCATTGTTTATGGCCATGCAAACGTAGATTAAGCTGCCTGTTTCAGAGAGAAACACAACCCCAAGAAGAGACAGGAGCTGCTTTCTGGACGCACTGCCTCTGCACCACCTCAGTGCATCCTTCTGTGTGCATGTGATCTGGCCTATGTGTCCGTCTGTGCAAGCGGGGGTGGGAGTCCCATGTGGGAGTCCCTGCTTTCTGCTTGCTTGGTGTCCATGCCGCGGTGCTGCCCCAGGGCCTGGGCGAGAGCCTCGCAGAAGCTTTGGCTCACTCGTGGCTTTGATCTTCTCTTTTCAGGCCCAGCCTGGGACATTCTTCACTTCCCTTCGCTTCCCCTCTGGGAGCCCCTTTTGCCACCCCTGCACCTTGCTTCGGGCAATGCCCGAGAGGGAGCTGTGGCCAGCAGGGCCTGGCTGGGAACCCGTGACCCGCGTCGGCAGCTGCGACAGCATGGTGAGCGCCACCTCCACCCCTCCACCCGCTCTGGATCTGTACGTACTCTCCCTCCCGCAACCTGTCTGCTGTCCGCACACCTGCCCGCACACCTGCCCCGCCCCACCCCGCCCTGCTCTGCCATCCGTCATCGCTCACTGCACCTTCTCTTTCATCTTCCTCGTCAGCAAGTGAATCACAAAATCAGTGGGTGCTTCCTGCCTCTGAGTCACCCCTAGGTCTATAAAGAATAGGGTGCAGTAACCTCAGAGAGCCACAGGATGAGGGAGACCCTCCAACTCCCCCCACCACCACCACCGCCACCACCACCGCCAGTCTTCACTGGGTCAGGGGTTGGAGGTCGAGGGGGAGAATGGGCTGTGGTCTGAGCTGTGATGAAAAGCAGAGTGCAGAGCTGTCTGCCTGGAGCAGTGTCACTTCAGTGTTGGACAAAGACGCAGAGGCTAAGTTTTCAAATCAAACAGACCTGGGTTCCCTACTCAGGAAAGCTCTCTGACCTGGAGCAAATTACTCGGTTTGTAAAGTGGGAATGACGTCCACCCGAATTCACAGGATTCTTCCAGGGGGTAAATGAGGTCTCTTTGGGAAAAGGAGGCAGCCCAGCAGGGAGCAGACACCAACAGCCTTACAAGTCACTGCGTGTCTTTGTGAGTGGTGTGGAATCACTTATGATTTTTCTGGGTATGATTTTCAGTCTCGGTTATTTTCAGCCTGGAGTGAAAAAATAAATCAGTCCTACGTCCGAATGAAAGCATATCCTCGTTGCTCAGCCTTGTCGCACATATGACAACCGTGGAGAAACTATACTTCCCTGCTAGCCTGTGCAGGGGTCTGAAAAGTTAAGGGTAATGACTCCACTGCAGAGTGACTAGTGAAATGGGGTCTTTACTGTTACCTTTGGAGCTTGATATGTACAAGTGGAGGGGAAAAAGCAACACACACACAAATACGCAGATCCAAAGTATAGACAATATAGGCATAATTTCCTTTTGACCCTAGGTGATGGACCCAGCCAGACAGCTTCCTGTTCCTGTTAGGCTGTGGCCAGTATGAATAGGCACATGCCATCGTCCACCAGTTAAGAGTTTTCAAAGTGAGTCATCCACAAAAGAGAAACTGAGTTGGCCTATGCGTGGCAGGGCTATTTTAGTAGGAAGAGGGAAGTAAAAAAAAGATCTTTGCTCAAGTAACTCCTGGAGTTGGCTTCCGGCTGCCAAGGGCTAGCTTTGGGGCTTCCCTTCACATATAGACCCCCATCAGGCAACTGGCAGATGAGCCTAAAAGGGACAGGGGCAACCGGAAGGGCTTACTCAACAACCCTCTCCCTCCCCCCAGGATGCACTTAGGGCCGTCGCAAAATATGTCCTGGCCGTGTGGGCCTGGAGAACGCACAGCTCAGAGGTGTCCCAGATCATAGGAAGAAGAAAGGATACATCGAGAAGGCTCAGGCCCAGTTCCCTACATTCCCAGTTGCCCTCTGGTTTTCCTCCAACCTCCTTTGAAGAGCAACAATGCCATCGATCTTCCTGACCTGGGAAGGCATGGACAGCACCATCCGAATCATCTGCCAAACAGCCTGTGCGCTTTCTAATAATAGAAATTTCCTACTTTAATATCGACTTAATACTTAATGCAAAGTTGCTTTCCCCTCCCTCATACCACCCAGTTCCTGCACCTTCCCCTTCTGTTAATATTTGCTAAAGAAATGCAGAGTTATGTGAACGTTAGCCAGAGCCAAATGCCATCAAGAAAGTCAACATACAAGGAGAAAAAGCCTGCATGGAATGCATTTCAAAGTCAAGTATAAATTATTTAGCAGATGTATCTGCGGCTAGTGGAGCCGCTGTTCGCATTGGCCTAGCAGCCAGTACTTGGCTGCATCTGCATGTCCTTATACTGACCTTGACATACCAAATCAAGTATGCAGAAGGTCTTTGTAAAGTTAAAAGCAATACCATGCAAGTTTCATGTCAAATTGTCGCCTCTATGATCTGGAGCTAGCCCAGGGACACACAGGGTGAGACACTTGACAAGGTTCACACAAAGGAACTGGAATGTGAACCTGGGACTGCGGATGATCTAAGCCCAGGAGCCAGCAATGGGAAGACTGTTGCACCTGCCTGCCTAGGCTGCAGGGCTGGGTGCTGGTGGGCCCCCAGTTCTGGCAGTCTCTGCTCTCTGTGGCTCCGCAGCCTCCGGACACAGCTCCAGCAGGTCGGCAGAGTCGCGGGCGGACAGTTTCCCGCCCTCCAGCATTCCTCGCCACCACAGGGTGGTTCTCAGGCCCCGCCAGTTTCTGCAGAGGGACCTCCCTCTCACAGCTCCTTCTCCCCACAGAGTGACAGCAGCTACGACTTCCTGTCAGCAGAAGAGAAGGCGTGTCTGCTCTTCCTGGAGGAGACGATCGGCTCGTTGGACACCGAGGGTGACAGCGGACTGTCCACCGATGAGTCTGAGCTGGTCCCAACGCCCCGCGGCTTCCGAGCGCCGCCCAAAACCCAGCCTGCCCCCAAGGGTAAGACGGACTGTCTGCAACAGCACCTGTCAAAACACCCAGACGATCAGCTGCTCCCAGGGTCACAGCAGAAGGGGCAGCCGCACTCTCCTGGCTAAATGAAGTCCCTGCGGGGGGAGAGGCAGCGAGGGGGCGCTGACCAGCCAGCTTCTTGTCTGTCCATGACGCATCAGAGACAGGGGAAGGAGAGGGGTTTGAGCAGCTCCCTTTCTCTCATGGAAAAATCCCGGGAGAGACGAACAGAGAAGTAAGCGAGGAAGTCAGGCAGGCCTGGGTGATTGCTCTAGAGAGACCGAGTCAGTCCAGCGAGCTAATCTGGGTGGCCCAGAGGACAAGGCTCCAGGAGATAAGATGAGGGAAGGGCTCCCCAACGCCAGTGGGTGGCACCTCGGGGCCCTGTTGGGGAGGGTGGAGAGTCAGTGGTGTTCGGCTTTGGTAGAAGGGAACTGAATGGCACACCATGTGGCCATGTGTATGGGGCCACACATGCCAGGGTGTGGGAAGCAGCTTACTCCCACAGACAGAGCCACTGGTATCGGGGCTGCAATCATTCACTCATTTAATAAATATTTATCGACACTGCATCAGACTCTCCCTGAGATAGAGCAGGAAGTGGGGCCATGGGGCCTCCCTGCTCCTTGAAGCCAACTCCCTGGCTCAGTGGGCCTAAGCACCTGCCTAACCTGCTAGAAAGAAGCTGTGTCACTCCCTAGTGCAGGGACACTGCACCTGCTACAGACTTGTCCAGGTGCTCGTGAAAAGACAAAGTAGAAGGCAGAAGCCTGGTCAAGTCAAGAGCAAATCACTCGTTCACCAGTTGCCATTAGGCTCAGTCATCTGGGAGCTGGAGACAGATACAGCGAACTGTCCAAGGCCATCCCTACCTCCAGTGCGTCTGTAGAAGGTCAGGGAGACCCTGAGTCAAGGGTGTGGAGCAGTCGGGGGCTGCTGTCTTCCCAACCATCATGAAAAATGAATCCTTAGTCGAAACGAATCTGTTCTCACTGCTCCATCAGTAAGAGTGCTACCCCTTTAAAAGCAAAGAAAACCAAACCAAACCAAACAAAATAACACCCATTTGCTATTGGTTGGAGATCAGAGTTCAGGGAGTGTTTGCTTTTTCCTCTGCAGCAAGGTGCTCACCCCTGTTGTCTGTCCTCTCTCTTTCGCCTGTTCACCCTGAACTGCGCAGGAAATCCAAAGGAGGCGATCGCTGAGCAAAGACCAGAGCCAAGGACAGTGACCCAGGCCAGCTCGTTCCATCCTCCTGAGCCCCAAGGTCTGGGCCTCAGGTCTGGCTCCTACAGCCTCCCCAGAAATATCCACATTGGCAGAAACCAGAACCTCGGCGAAAGCACCAGCCAGACTAACAGCCACGCCCCCGGAGAACCTGCAGGGCTCCCAGCAGTTAAACAGCCAGGCAGCCGGCTGAACGGTGAGCCCAGGCCAGGCCCTGCCGGCCCCCGGGAGGCTGCCCCTGATTTGGACGTGGCGCCCATCCCCCCACCGGAAGCTTTCCGGGACGCGCAGCCAGAACAGCGTGAGGAGGACCACCTGCCCAAGAGGCCAGGAGAGCAGAGTCAAGCACCCCACGCCCGGAAGACGGAGGAGACTTCTTCAGAAGCCATGTCCCACAAAGCCAATGAGAGAGGCTCCGTGGGGCACCCCCAGCCCCTGGCATCAGCGAGCGATCCGGGCGCCCAGCCAGCTTCCCTGGCTGCCCCAAAGCCCCGGAAGCTGCCGCCTAACATCGTCTTGAAGAGCAGCCGGAGCAGTTTCCACAGCCAACCCCAGAACTGGCTGTCTCGCCACACCGAGGCTGCCTCGGGGGAGTCCGGCCTGGGCCCCTCTTCACTGCAGGAGCAGAGAAAAGCACGCAGAGAGGCGCTGGAGAAGCTGGGGCTGCCCCAGGACCAAGAGGCGCCCGGCCTCCACCTGAGCAAGCCCGCCAGCTCCTTCAGGCTCAGGGAGCCTCGTGCTCAGGGCCCTGCCCCAGGCGCAGCCCCGGGTCCTGCTCAGCCTGCGGCTCCAGTTCAGGTCTCAGCAGCTGCGGGGAAGGCTCCGGCTCCAGCTCCAGTTCCGGCTCTGTCTCGGGGACCTGTGCCAGCAAAGGCTCCGACTCCGGCTCCAGCTCAGGGGTCTTCTCCTAGCAAGGCTTGGACACCTGCCCAGGAAACCCCTCCAGGGAAGGTGGCAGCTGCCAAGTCCATGCCGATTCCTATCCCAAAGGCCTCGAGGGCAAACAGTCCTCTGACTCAGCCCAAGCCAGATTCAGGGCTAACTCTCCAGGACAGCAGCATCCCGGGGCTGAGACAGATGAACTTCAAGTCCAATACTCTGGAGCGCTCCGGGGTGGGGCTGAGCAGCTACCTGTCAGCTGAGAAAGACCCCAGCCCCCAAACCAGCACTTCTCTGGGAAAGGGCTCCTTGATGGACAAGATCTCACCCAGCGTCCTGCGCAATTCCCGGCCACGCCCCGCCTCCTTGGGCACCGGGAGGGACTTTGCAGGAATCCAGGTGGGCAAGCTGGCCGACCTGGAGCAGGAGCAGAGCGCGAGGCACCTCTCCTACCAAGGCCAGAGCCGGGACAAGCTTCCCCGGCCTCCGTGCATTAGCGTCAAGATCTCCCCAAAGGGCCTCCAGGATGAGCACAGAAGGGAGGCTTTGAAGAAGCTGGGACTGTTGAAGGAGTAGGTGCAGAAGCCAGGGCTGCCAGCCCTAGCCGTGCCCCTCTGCGCGAGAAGAGACTCCAGGCTCTCCTTCGGAGCCATGGACAGCTCACACACAGGCTTGGCCAGGCGTGGGCTCCTCCTCCGAGTGATGACGAGGGAGAGATTTGAGTCTGAGCATATGCTGCACTGGGGGTGCTTGTTCACTAAGTTCCTGTGCTCACGCACACACACTCACATTGTATGATAGGCTGTATATACCCCTGTAGCTATTTATACAGAGTTCTGCTCTCCTTGGAGATTTTCTGCGTTGGGTCAAGTTCAGCCCAGCCAGAACCAATGGAGGTGGGTGGCCAGAAGCAAAGTCAAGTGAGATTGTGGATATGCCAATGACTGCAAAAAACACTACATTTGGCAAGGCCAGGGGCCCATGAAATGTGGGCCTGAAGAACCCCTACAGCAAATGGAGACTGACTTTGCCTTGCCAGACCCTTTCTCGGCTCAGGCTCTCTGGACAAGGCCCGGTGCCAGGAGGAGCTGCTTTGTTATCTCTTCACCCACTGCCTTCTCGGGATCACCACTCCCAAGGATGAGGCGCACTGCTGTAACCAAGCCTCTTGGTTGACTGACAGCAGACAGCCCCTGTTGGTCTGAGAAGGCACGGTAAGTGCCGCACACACCGTGCCTCCCCCAGGGAGAGTCCCCGTCCTTGGGCTCCATACATTCCGCGATACCCTGTGCTGTGGTCCAAGACTCTCAAATCCCTGTTCTTCCTGCTCTCCTGCTCCCCAACTCCGGGGCTCTGTCAACACAGAACAGAGAGCCCCGCCCGGAGACTTTGTAAATACCTAAGATCTTGTCCGTGTGACTGCGGGTCGTTTTTAAATGTCCTCTACTCCAGTGGTGGGAAATCGGCCCAGGACCTTTGCCTGCTGTTCACCTGCTCTCAGAGCCGGGAGCTGTCTTGGAAAAGCTTCGCCATGGGGGAAGAGAAGTGGCTCATCCACAGTCACTCTGACACTTAGTCCCGGAGCTGAGACTGCACGCTGGGGCTGCTGACTCCCGTCCCGTGGACACTCGGGGTGCTGCCACCCCTTAACCAGTGCTCTCGGACATCTGCACAGCCCCCGAAGGGTTGCTTCTCACCATCAAAGACTCAAACCTGAGTTCCTGCAAGATCCTAAACTCCCTTCTGAAGGACCGGAGATTAAATGCTGTTCAGGGTAATATTTCACACTGCTTGTTCATTTTGTCCTTGGATAGCAGCTATAGAGTAACTCGTTCATGGCCGGAGCACCCCTCCCTACAAATTCCTGACCAAGTCGTACGACATGGGCACTGCCCGAGGAGGGTGCTTTGGGTGGCGTGGGCCTGTGAAGACAAGCGTGGGGTTAGATGTGGCTAGACATGACTCCCACGTCTGTGGGAAGTGAACCTTACTCACGGCCAGGACCTGCAGGAGTCCAGGAGACCCGATGCGAGGGGCAGATAAGGGGGATGTTGTTACAAAGTGCCTTTTAGTGCTGCTGGCCTTACAGAATCACCGCCAAAGCCTCTGAGAAGGATGAGAAGGTTAAGGTAAGGCCAAGGAATGGTCCCACCCTGGTGTGGAATGTGGGGTGTGGGTGTGGCAGTTTCTGTGTACACCCGTCGCGCACACACTCACACCCACAAGCCAGGTGCCTCGTTCCTGGTCCTGGCTGAAGACCTGGTAGGTCCCAGCTGCTGGGGACTCCCACAGCTGACCATCTTACATACCCACCCCCCAAAAAAAAGGAGAAGGCCACCTTCTGAAGTCCTGGTGTGACAGGCTGAATTCAGTTGAGCTGTGTCCCATGGGGATTTTAAGTCACATTGCTTTATTTCCTAGTCACTAACTGCCCTGGTTAGTAGGGAACCAAGAGCTATAAAGTGAGCGCTGGTGGGAATCTGGGGCTGCCACCAACACAAAGCTGACCGCCATGGGCTGCTCAGGAATTAAGTCCCGCTCCAGACAAGACAGCCTGGTCCACAAGCCCGCACCTGTCCGCTGTGCATCCTTACCCACTGGTGTCCGCACGTCTCCGATTTTCCCTTCCCTGGTCATCTGAAGAAGCCAGGCCCCCCCGCCACCAGGCCCTAGGATTCAAGAATAGAGAAAAATAAATCCAGGGGCTGGCGCTGTGGCTCACTTGGCTAATCCTCCACCTGCAGCACCGGCATCCCATATGGGCTCCGGGTTCTAGTTCTGGTTGCTCCTCTTCCGGTCCAGCTCTCTGCTGTGGCCCGGGAGGGCAGTGAAGGATGGCCCAAGTGTTTGGGCCCTGCACCCGCATGGGAGATCAGGGAGAAGCACCTGGCTCCTGGCTTTGGATCAGCGAGCGCCTCTCTCTCTCTCTCTCTCTCTCTCTCTCACTGTCTATAACTCTACATGTCAAATTTTAAAAAATTAAAAAAAATAAATCCAAAGGTAATCATCCTCACTGGAGAGGGGCGGGGGGGCCCAGCGTGGACACCACGTCCGATGAGCCAGGATTATTTCTGTTTCTACGCACATAGCATCATATCCATAGAGGATTGTGCCTCATTCAGATGGACCTGATGGAGCAGGAGGGCCGTCAGAGTCTCTCTTATCCCCTCCCAAAGCATTTTGGGAGGACATGTGTAAAGGCGATTCATCTGGTTTCAAAAACCAAAGCAACAGCTCTACAGTTCTAGTTGCCCTGGAATCTCTGGTGTACCCTGCCAGTGACTTGCTGCTTGGAGCACACACCACCCACTAAATGCAGGAGCTGGCCCCTCTCCGGGCTGGCACGCTGGAGTCTGGCACTCAACACGCGTGAATGGCTACTCCTCTGAGTCACCTCCCACCCATGTGCCACCCTGAGAATCCTGCCCTGTGATTACACAGAGACTTCTCACACAGAATCAGGGTGGGCCCTCTCACCTCTGTGTGTCCCCTTGCACACTGGGAAGTGTGATCTGGCAGAGGCCACCCTGTAGCATGGGGGTGGGTAAGTGCTCAAACCTTGGCGTTTGTTTTCTGGAAGGAAGGGCAGGTGAAAGGCTGGGGAGCAGGAAGCTGTAGCTGCTCTGGGCATCACCTGGAGGCGAAGCCTGAGGCATCTACAGGTGTGTGGGTGTGGGAGACGACCCCTGCCCTCCTCTGACCTCCGACTGTCTGTGTGGCTGGAGAAGGTTCATACTGTCATCTCATGGACCGGAGGAGGTTGGGACCAAGGGGATGAGCAGGAACAGCCGTGTCTGTCTCAGCCTGGGAGGAATGCAGATACCTCCGTGTGAGTGAGTCTGAGCACATACATCTGGGTTCAAGTTCAACCTCTGTCACTGATCAATCAGGCACCATCTGAACCTTGGTGTTCTCACGTGCAAAATGCAAATAATCCCATCCATTCATGACAGTTGGGATGAGTAAGTGATAGGAACTATGCCAGTCTCAGTGCTTGGCACAGTGCAGCTACTGGATAAATGGTGGAATTCTGTTTCAGGTCCTCCAGGAGCTCACCCGGCTCAGTTCTGAGAGGAAATAGACAAGGCCTTGCTGCAGGTCCAAGTCCAAAGTCACAGCTAGGCTTTGCCACACCCAGGTGACTCAGCTTCACTCAGGCCATGATTCCTAGAATTTCAAAAAAAAAAAAAAAAAAAAAAAAAAAAGGCATCACCATGCTGCTTGTGTCTTGGTGTGAACTGAACCAGCTCTTTCCGGCTTCTGTGTAGTCAGATCCAGCCTCCTCTGCTGTCAGCCTCTCGCTGCCCACAGTCACACAGTTTACTTCTTGCTTCCTATGACTCCCTTCCGCCGTGTGCTTTAGGGAGTGTATGCTGTTCTGTAGTTATCTACTTTCCGCTTGGAGGGAAAAAGCAAATTATTGTAGCAAGAGGAAGCCCTGGCTATAATCAGGAAGCTATAGAAACTAGAGGGAACACTTTTTTTTTTTTTTTAGATAAAAGGTAGGTATCTTTCTGAAATGAGTCAGTCATTAGTTATCAGGAGGCAGGAGGTAGATTGGATGAGCTCTCCCAAGGCCTTCTGATAGATGGACCCTGTGAATTGCAGGGGTCACCATAGCCATCATAGTACCAACAACTCGTGACACACGGGTGAGATCAAAACAGATGGCATTCAATCCCAGGATGTCATCTCTCTCACTGATTACCTAGCTGAATCATCCCGCACCGCCTGCGGTGAGTCCCGAGTGCTGAACGGTGTGACACAGGGTGGCATCGTGGCAGAGTTCTGGACCAAGTGCACTCCAGCAGTCACTTCATGTCACTCACAAGCTGGGGCCTGGGACCCGGCTGTCCCCCAGATGTATGAGCCTGACACAAATGTTTCTGTAAGTCCAAACAAGTGAATTAAGAAAACCAACATCCTGGGGCCAGCGCTGGGTGTAGCCAGTTAAGCCACCGTCTGCAATGCCAGCATCCCCTATGAGCACTGGTTTGAGTCCCAGCTGCTCGATTTCCGATCCAGCTCCCTGCCGTTGCACCTGGGAAAGCAGCAGAGGACGGGCCAAGCGCTTGAGCCCCTGCCATTCACATGGAAGACCCAGATGAAACTCCTGGCTCCTGGGTTCAGCCTGGCCCAGGCCTGGCTGGGGTGGTCATTTGAAGAGTAAACAAACAGATGGGCAATCTCTTTCTTCTTCTCCCCTACCCACCTCTGTAGCTCTGCCTTTCAAAGAAATAAATCTTTCTTTTTTTAAAAATCAACACCGTGACAAAAAGTATCCCAGTATAGTCTAAGGTAAACTATACCCCTTAGGACCTAAGAACTTTAAGAAAATGTTTGGGTTTTCTAACTCAGCTTACCATCTAAAGAGAAAATATGCTCATAGGTGGAGATATCCAAAGATGATAGGTAGGTAGATAGATAATACAGAAAGATTGACATCTCAAACAATCCTGTGGTCTCAATAAAGGTAGAATTACCTTTGTTTTATAAATGAAGAAAGCAAGTGTCAAAGAGTTTCTGGAGCTGTAAGAAATAGAACAGAAGAGTCAGGCTCTTGGATCAGGGAGCTCATTTTTTCACTCACTCATTTCAAAACCAGGGTCCTGAGTTCTAGCTGTCTGTACAATATTGAGAAAACACAAACAAACAAGGCTGCTCCAGATCGGAGAGGAGCCCCCAGTCTAGCATGAGGAAGAGACAATGAAATGTGACTACAACAAAGACAGGAAGGATACAGAACCCTAGAGTATGGAGCTGTAAGGGAGGAAGTGGGACAACTGGGAGAAAAGGTGTTCCAGATGGAGGAGGAAACAGGATGTGCCAAGAAACTGTGGAAGAGTAGGTTATATTTGGAGAACCGTCTGGGACAGGCAGTGCCAAAGGATGAGCCAGAGACACCCACAGTTGGGATTGCTGGAGGGCTTGGGTGCCATGCAAAGAAGTCTCAGCTTTATCCTGTTGGCCATGGAGAGCAAAGAGGAGTCTAAAGTAGTGACGCGGCGTCATCAAATTCGCGTTTTACAGACGCTCTGGCCTTATGACAGTGATAATGAAGCCAGGAAAACAGCTCCAAGTAACAGAATCCCCAGCGGCTCCCATGAAAGAAGGGGGCACGTGTTTCTTCCATATGAGAAATCGGAGGCTGGGTGGCTCTCGGCACTGCTCAGGGCTGGCAGCAATGGACTTCTCTGTCTTTCCCTCAGTGATTGCCAGGTGGTGCCCCTGGTTATGGGGTTGATATTCAGAGGATGAAGATGGGAAAGAAAAAGTGGCAGCAGCTGTTATCTGTTCCTTTTAATCAGAGAGCAAAATCTTTCCCAGAAACTCTTCAACAGACTCTTTTAGGTCTCATTGGCCGGGACTATGTCACAGGCCATCTCCAACTAAAGGGACTTTCCTATCCTCTCTACTAAAAGCCAGCCTGGGAGAAGGAGTATGTTTGAGTATTCCACTCACTGATCCACAATGTACCCAATAGTCCAAGTATCTGAGTGAGAGTTTAGATAAATAAGTGATGACTGGGCATTGGAATCAATTCTAAAAATGTTTACAAAGCTGACCAGCACCTAGCGACTTAACAGATACAAAGAATAAAGGAGAAAGAGGAGTTCAAATGATGCCCCATTGCTGGCCTGAACCAGTGGATGAATTCACAGAGGTGCTATAGGAGTAGGACCAAGGGGAAGGGAAGATTCCAATTTGGACATAATGAATTTGGGGTTGCAGTGGGACTTCTAGGCTGACATGGCCCCAGAGAGATAGACGGTGGGGC